ACGATCCCAAATTTGATAATCATATCGCAATAGTTACATAAAACAGGTAATGATCATGAGAAAAAATATGTACCAATTAGCTTTAAGATTTTGCCTTCGTTTTAGATGCCAGTAAAACCATACACTAACGTTCCTGGTACCGTTACTTATTTTAAATACTATTGTCACGAGTTTTTCGTGACGTAGATGGGGCTTGATGAAATCTTTTGGTTATTTTATTATTACGTTTTTTTTTTATTATTTATTGTTTATTTGTTGAATATGAGTCATCGGGAATTAATGAGCGTGACTAACAAAATTGTAAACAAAATTGTAAACAAAATTGTAGACAAAATTGTAAACAAAATTGTAGACAAAATTGTAAACAAAATTGTAGACAAAACTATAGGCAAAGTTAGAAGGATTTTATTAAGGCAGATAAGCCGCAAAGGATCATAGTAAGAAGTGAAGGTGGATATTAAATAAGTGTGCAGTAGAAATAGACCTCAAAAATGTATTTAAAGGCTGAGTTCGCCCTTAATAAAGTTTCCTCAGACTTCGATGTCTTTAATGAAATGAAATAAGAATCGACTTCTCATATTTATTGAAAAACACTGTTTATTGACGATTGAACGAATTTATTTTTATTTTTCTCTTTCGTATTGTTAAGTACCCCAGAATTAGTTTAAATGCTACCTAATTGTTAACTTATTATCTTAAGATAACTCCCATTGTTAAACACAAACGATGGTATTATCATACGGTTATCCGCCCGATTTCTTAGTATAGAACCATTTAATATTTACCTTAAAATTATCACGTCAGCCCTAGCTTACCCTTCAAGTATATCCTTAAATTACGTGCATAACCCAAACCGGGGCTAATTTAGTAAGATCCCGATTTTGATCTACGTAAATCAAGGCCCTAAATTACGTGCCTCACATGTTTAAGTTCTCTACAAACGATACATATAAACTCTCTAAGTTTACTATTGGAGTTAACACGGCACTGTATTTTACCATAGCTCTCCCAAACAATAGTAACACTATGCGTAATAACTAAAAAATTTTTATGACTTTCAATTCAGTTGAAATATTTCATATTCCTCTGCTGAAAACCATGACGATGTAGCATTATTTCCGATCACATATTTATCTGCACTTCTAATTTTTCTTGCTCCAAATACCTTTTATTTCAATTACCGTATTACCGCGGAATAGCGCACATGGGCGTTATTTCGAAAATCGCATTCCCTTAAAATAGTATACTTGGC